TCGCCCTAAATTGGTTCTACTCCAATTACTTTCAACGCTGGTATTCCCCAAGGCTTTATCCTGGGCCCTACACTGTTTCTGAGCTTCATCAACAATCATCATGATGTCATCAGTTCTCACGTAGGTACCTACGTACACGACACTACCATTTACTCATGTCTCAATAGTAAATCCAGCATTGCTGACAAAATTAACCAGGCAGTTGGTCTCGAAAAGGATCTCCAATCTGTGGTTGACTAGGGCAGGAAATGGCATGTAAATTTTAATGCCTCCAAAAGGAATCTGCTTCATTTAGAAAAAAAAAACTCCCTGCCTCCTATCAGCATATCTGATACTCATCTTCACGAGAGCGTCTCACTGCGCATTCTTGGTCTCAGGTTCTCCATTGACCTGCGGTGGAAAACTACATTGAATCAATAGTTACATCTACCGCAACGTAAGTCGGTTTTTTGTGTCGCGCCAGAAGTTTTTGCTCATCTCAGTCCATCTTTCACATCTACAAATCTACCATTAATCCATGCATGCAATACTGTTGCCATATATGGTCTGGTGCCCCAGCTGTTCATCTTGAGGTTCTCGAAAAAGTCCAAAGACGGATATGCAATATAATAGGTCCTGATCTTGCATCTCGACTCCGGTCACTTTCTTGCAGACTTGATGTGACTTCGCCCTATCTTTTCTACAAATATTTTCATGGCATCCGCTCTGACGAGCTATTTTCACTGGTGCTCCGACTGCATGAATTTAAGCGTGCTACTAAGTTGGCATATCGGTCCCATCTTTTTATTGTTGAAACAATTAAATGGAATCGCCTTTTCTGCTCCAACTGTTTCTTCTCTTGTACTTCCCGACAGTGGAACTCTCTTCCTCTTACTTGCTTCCCTGATAACTATAATCTTCAAAAACTTAAATGTAATATCAATCGACATCGTCTGATGCCTTGATCTTGACCCCCGTCTTTCTCTTCATCCTTTACTCAAACATGCCTCTTTTCTCTTACTTTCACTCTCTATAACCTGTTGCGTACTAGTGGCACTCTCCCCTTGCTTGGGGTGAAAAGCTTAAGTTCCCAAATTACATGTTACAGAAATTTTAATTATAATATTTTGAATATTAATTTTCAATTTTTTGTCATTCCTCCTTTTCATAGAACTTCCTAATTCGGCGTACATCTGCATATACGTTTTCCCAACATAATTTAGTTCAACCATCGAAACGTTCCTAAGTATGTCAGTCATGGCGCCGAATGCGTATAGAACTATATAAACAGTTAGCTTCATACAGCCACATTTTCAGAGTAATAGTTAAAATGTATGCATGCGAATTAAGCCTCTTAACCTTAGCGAGGAAAATATTTCTTCGACTCTTGTGAATTGGCGCTACCGAATCATAAACAAAGAACAGAAACCAAATAATTTGAGGACATACAATAATAGCAACTATTGCATAGCGCATATAATTTGAATAGAAACAATCAAAACGTTGATATTGCTAACTTTTTCAAACAAAAGATTAGCAACCTTCCCCAATAGCAATACTAGAAAGAACGAAAACCTATTTACTAAAAATAATCTATTAATAGAAAGATTTTATGAATTTAATTTAAAAGTAGCATTAGCTCTTCGGTCCATAATTCCAAATATTTAAAAACGGCTAATATTACCATTAAGGAGAAAATATACTAAATGTGGATTCCATGTAGCTGGCCAGCGAGTGAAAAAAAAAGTCTACCTTAGATAATTTTTCAATGAATTCTGTTTATATATAAGGAAACGGCTTATATTCGCCTTGTAAATGAGGAGAACCGATACTACAGCTTGATCTCAAACTGATGAAGCCGTGAAGTGAAGAAAAGTGTAACTTGTGTATCGTTGGCTGCTCAATCAAAGAATACCCAATGTTTCTTATAATGTACGACTAATATTACCATTATCATTAGAAAGGAGGAGGACATATTCTACAATTTTATCCCTACCCGATGTCCATGAACTGAAGAAACACCGCTGGCTACTTGGTCAGTGAATATCGAATGTCTCTTTATAACGAAACGGTCAATATTACAATTACCAGATCTCGGTTATGAAACTACAAGTTTTTAGGCATTGTCATCAACTTCATTGTTTTCTGATCCACCTGTCTCTTTTGTCCAGTTTCAAAAAATTCTCATTATCTCATACTGGATACTATAGACTTTCTAGCTTCACTTATTGAAGTCAATATTAGTTGTGGAGGTTTGTCTTAAGGTGGGGCTTTGCTGCTATTCACCTTATCTGCAATGAATAATAGGAATACATATATTTACATTGTATTGTCCATATTCTACTGTCTGTATGTCCGTATATCTACGGGAAATTTTCGTATCTTCTTTCGTCCAAGCAAACTTGAATAACTTTTACAAGGTATCCGGATTACAACCATATTTTCCTTTCTGTTCATGGGTAAATTTTGCATCACGAGACGTAAAGACTTTCTTTTTAAGTAGTTTATTCTAATTTTATTTTGCCCGATTGTTTTTGATTGAATTAACTTCCATATTTACTTTTCAACACGTCGAAAGGGAAGAATTTGAATAGATATTACAGCCAAGAGAATTAACAGATCGATGCATTCCCAAGAGGTAGATGCGGTAAGCGTATATCTAGTTAGAAAAAAAATTAGATTTGTTTCGTCTTAACAACAATAGCCTCTTGGTCAAATATTACTCATCATTCTACGGGTATACGTTGTGTTTGCTCCTCACTTTGTTTATTTCCCAGGCTAGTACTTGGTTCAGCATTTCAAGCCGTTCAAGTATAAATTGATGAGATTAGAGACGGCAAATTCTCTGAATGCCATCACGTGACTAGTTTATCTGATTAATCAAAGGTAGTGGCAAATTATCATTTGTAACCGAAATAATCACAATGCTTGTTATTCGAGTGATCGAATCTTCAGACCGTTAACGAGATCCTGGCTGTTTCAAATTAAAAGAAGAATGAACAAATGAAAATGAAAAGAGAGAGACAAATGGAGGGATAAAGTAGACATAGCAATGAGAGATTTAGAAAAGAGAAAAAGAGAGTTTAGAAGAACAAAACAAAGAATGGGATAAAGCAGAAAAAATAAGCAGAATAAAATGGAGGAAATTAAACAATGACAAATTATTATAGAGGCCTAGAAATAGAGGATGTGCAATAAGTCGAAACAAAAAGACAGAATGGTAAGGAGAGAAAGCCAAAGAAAGAAAAGAAAGGAAATTGATAAACAGCAAGAAAGAGATTTGTATTAAGAGAGAAAGAAAGAAAAATAAGAAAGAATGAGAAAGAAAGTAAAAGCAATAGGACATTAAAAAGAAATAAAGTTTACACAGCTTGTCCATCCGTTAGTTCTTTAGTTAGATTGTATGTTATGTCCTGCCATTATCTGATAAATAATAGACTATTCCGTTTTGATCCTCGCAAAAAAGAAATACCAGAAACGCTACTTCGCAGAGAAGGTAGACGAGACTATTACACTCTCATGTGTTTTACATCTGTTTCAGGGTAGAGATTTTTCAAGCGTAGCTTAGTTGTGGCACAACGTCGAAAGTATGAGGCATCCAATGAGGACCGAACTCCCTTTTCAGTAGTAACGGATCTAGCTAGCCAATCTTGCTAACCATTACACCACGCCGAGGTGCCCACGTCTGTTTCAGGGTAATGGAAAAAAAGTCGTCAATTTAAAAACTTTTCATTTGTACACCTTTGCTTCTTTAAATAACGACCAACATTCATACCTATGATTTTTATTGCAATAATTTATCAAAGTTAAGCTCAAATATTTAACTATTTGACAGAGAAAATTTATTGTGGTCGAAGTCACCATGAGCTTATTCACTCATTAACTTTATAATTATGATTAATCAGAAAATTAAAATATGAAAACCATGAAAATTTCACGATTATTTTTATTATTATATAACAGCTTGATCCTCAGTTAGAGCGTATATTACAACCTGTCAATACCTGATAAATAATAGAAAATTCTGTTTGGAATACGAGAAAAAACTGAAAAGACATTACGGAGACGATGTTTATTTTCAGTGGGGAAAACGAAAGAAAAATGAAAAAAAAAGAAAGAAAGAAAGAGAGAAAGAAATAAAAAAAAAGAAAGAGAAATGAGAGGAGGCCATAACGCTTTTATAAGATAAACGTCTGTTTCAGTGAAAAGGAAAAAATGCCAATCGTAAATCTTTTTTTTAATTTTTACCAACGTTTTAAATATTGGCTGTTATTCATATTTATGAGTTTTATTGCAATATTTGTTTAAATTTGTTAAGCTTAAATATTTAACGTTGAAATAGGGATTTATCACTGGCATTCTATAATCGTGGAACTTTTTTGTGTCCTTATTTATTCATTAAATATGATACATCAGAACATCTATCTATATCTCTGAGATGAGGTATTATGATTACTTACATTATTTACATTCTTCAGACTGTTATCCTCATCTTCATTGCCATATTCACAATGTTTTAGCCGTTGTACGTTCCGGCCTTCTTCAGTTGATTGGAATTTCGAACCGAACCTTTCATTTCGTAGACCGGGCTAGATTGTTCTAGTTCCATGAGCCATCCTTCGTCCGGATTTCTCAGTTATTTCCCTTTAACTCAACTCTCCAAGTTTGTTTCAACACTGCTGTGGTATTGAACGCACAACTTCTTGAGTCTAGTCGTTGGATCTAACCGATGTCTTTATCCACAAACCAAATAATGTAAATAATCTAAGTGCATCAGAAAATCCAAATAGAAAAATCTGGAAAATTTCACGGTTAATACAAGTGATATAGTAGGAACAAAAGAGTGTGTAAGGGTGAAGAAGAAAAGGAGAAAAAGAGAGAAAAAAAGGAAGAGAAAATTTATGGAGCTGAAGACGAGAAAGAGAGGAAGTATAAAAAAATAGAAAAATAGAACGAAAAAGAAAGAATGGAAAATATGATGCAGATACAGAGTGGGAAAAGCAGGGAAAGTGTAGTAAGTGTTAAGGAATGGAAGGAAAGAAAAGAAAGAATGAAAAGAGAACAAGTTCATATAAATAATGAGCGAGAGAAATAGATAAGAAAGGTGGAAAGATCATTTGGAGAAAGGGAATTGCGAAAGAGGGAAATCTGAATCCGGCAAAGATGAAAAGGAATAAAGAGAGCATCAATGGTCAAAGTATGTAGGTAAAGGTAAAAGGAGAAAATGAAGAACATATATATATATATATATATATATATATATATATATATATATATATATATATATATATATATATTGTTAAATATAACAGACAATGAATATCTGATCATGAGCCGTTCAGATGTTCGTATGCACCTTCAGTTTCGAATGAAAATAACGACAAAAATTGTGCAACATTTGGCTATTTTTTATTATTAAGTTGGTCCTTGATTTAATCTTTCGGCTCACATGAGACATTTTCTGAGTGGTTATACGGACATTTTAACAAAAGTATTCACCATCGAAGATAATATTTTGTTATGTTGATATAAAAGATTGCTATGAGACGATAACGGTCATGTGACCCGAACGCTTAGATCAAGGAACAACTTAATAAAATAATATCAAAATATTGAAGATAATCGACATTCATTGTCTATTATATGATATATTTTTATATGATATGCTGTCCCAATACAATATATATATATATATATATATATATATATATATATATATATATATATATATATATAAATAGACAGAAACACAGACAGAGGCAGAGACAGAAAAACAGAGAAAAATATATATATATAATATATAAATATAAAAGAAAATATGGAACAGGAAAGAGGGTAATGGAAATATAAGAAAGAAAAGAGGGAAAACAAAAAAACGAACCCTGGAGTAGAAAAGAGCGAAAAGAAAATAAGGAACAGGAAATCTAGAACAAAATGAGGTAATTGGTAATAACGAAAAAGAAAAAGGGAAATCAAAAAATAAAGGAAAGAAACGAGAAAAAAGAAAATAACGAAAAAGTAACGTGGGAAAAGGAGATAACCAAAAGGAAAGAGGAAATAAATAAATATAGAAAAAGAGGGAACCAACAGGGATTATAGAAAAGAAAAGAGGGAATGGGAAATAATGAAAAGAAAAGAGGGAAAAAGAAAATAATGAAAAGAAAAGAGGGAAAAGGAAATATAGAAAAGAAAGCAGAAGAAAAGAAATAACGATTAGGAAAAACGAAGAAGGAAATAAAGTAAAGGAAAGAGGCAAAATGAAATATAGCAAAGAAATGAGGGAAGATGAACAAAGGAAAAGGAAAGAGGGAAAATGAAGTAGGGAAAAGCAAATAACGAAAGGAAAGAGGAAAAGGTAACTAACGCAAAAGAAAAGACGGAAAACGAAGTAGAGAAAAGGGAATATCGAAAAAAATAAGATGGGAATTGAAATATAGAAAAAGAAAACGCTACAAGGAAATATAGGAAAATAAAAGGGGAAAAGATATTACGAAAAGGAAAGTGGGAAAGAAATTATAGTAAAGGAAGGAAGGGAAAAGAGAATATTGAAAAAGAAAGAGTTAAAAGGAAATATAGAAATGGAAAGAAGAAAAATGATATAGAGGAAAGGAAAGACAGGAAAGGAAATAACTTAAAGGAATAAGGAAAAGAAATAACGAAAAAGAAAAGAAAAAGAATTGTCAATACAGAAAAGGAAAGCGGACAAAGTGTGTATAGAATAAAAGAAGAGAGAAGAGGAAATAGCGAAAAAGAAAGAAGTAAATATAGAAAAGAAAATTGGGAAAGAGGAAATACGGAAAAGGAAATATGAAAAATGAATCAGGGAAAAGGAATGAGTGGTAAATAAAAGAAAAAGGGAAAATATGAATCTACTAATGGAAAGAATGGGATAGCAAACAGAGAACAAAAAAGAGGGGAAATGATATAATGAAAAAGAAAATGAGGAAAAGAAATATAGAAAACAAATAAGTGAAAAAGATATAATGAAAATGAAAGAGAGTGGGGAAAATAGTAAAGAAAAAAGGGAAAACGAAATATCGAACAGAAAGAGGGGAAGGAACTACAAAAAAGAAAAATGGCGAAAGGATGTAACGAAAAACAAAGATGGAAAAGGAAATAAAGAAAAGAAATATAGAAATGAAAAGAGGGAAGATGCAGTTACGAAAAGGAAAGAAGAAAAAAGAAATATAGAAATGAAAAGAGAGGCAGGGAAATAACGAAAAGGAAAGTGGGAAACGGAAATTAAAAAAAAGGAAAGAGAGAAAAGGAAATATTTACTAAAGGAATGAAGCGAAGAGGAAATAACGAATAGGAAAGTATAAGAAAGAAAAAAGGAAAAGGAAAAAGGCAAAAGCATATAAGGAAAAGAAAAGAGGGAAGAGGAAATACCGTTACAAGAGCCAGATCAGGCCGAAATATGGAGTACTGTTGTCATATTTGTACCGGAGCTGCCCAGACATTATTTTCTAGCCTTGATATTATTCAAAAGAACCATTGTGGGTGACGAATTCTTCTCCAACCTTCAGCCTCTTTCCCACAGTCAGGATGTGGCAAGCATCTCGCTGCTCAACCTCTACTTTCACGGAAATTGCTCGGACGAACCACATTCCCTGGTCCGACCGTAGCAAATATTCAGAGCTTAAGCACGCCATGTCAATTACATAGTGAAAACCATCCACATTCTCTCCGTATTCCAACGGTGAGAATGAGCTCCACTGGAGAAGCTTTTTCCAATGAACCACTGCGTTATGGACCCGACTCCGAAGAGGATGATTTCTACAACCTGATCATTACAATCTTAACCCTTTCAAGGTAAGGGTGAACAGTTATCTTCTACTCCTATACAAACAAATTGCCTCCACACTATTTCGGACAGCCCACGGGCCTTGTAAAGTGTGAGATTCGCTGTATAAAATATACCATATGGAAAGGTATGGTTTCGCCTATTCCTCCCAGTTATAGGTTAATTACTTAGACTTGCATCACTAAAAAAATTATTATCAAAAAGAAGAATTGCGTACAAAATATTTATATTTCGCGATATTAATCCATAACGTTTGATATGCTGCTTAAACAAATGCAACTAGATTGATGGACTTTTAAACAGCTATCTATTTTCTAATCAATCCTAGAATAATAGGAAATTAAAATTAATAAGAAATTAAAACTAACAGGAAATTAAAAGTAAATTAAATGTAATAGGATATTATAAGTAGTAGAAAATTATGACTAATAGAAAATTAAAAGTAATAGGAAATTAAATGTAATAGGAAATTAAATATAGTAGGTCATTATAAGAAGTAGGAAATTAAAAGTAATAGGAAAGTAAAGAAAAATTTTTTTTAAAGTAATAGGAAATTAAATGTAATAGGAAATTAAATATAATCGGAAATTATGAGTAAAAAAAATAATAATAGGAAATTAAGAGTAATAGGAAATTAAAAGTAATAGGAAATGACATACTGAAATGAAAGCATATATTTATTTTGAAGAAATCGCTTATTGTCCTGAAAAATAATAATTCTTTTTAATCCTTTCAATTGAAGGCGATAAATTGACTGAGACACAAGGAATTACTGAGAGTGAGAAAACGTTGCAAAGGAGAATGGTAATGGTAATGCTAATATTAGTCACTTCCTTATAAGGAAATATTCGGCGTTCATTGACCGTTCAACCAGTTCCAGTTTCTGTTGAAATTTATAAAAATGTTTCTCTAAATACAATTTTTCAGGGAAACAGGCATCTCAAGTTAAAGAACTGCTATCGCTTTTTACAGTAATGATGACGGTTTCCTTCCTAAACTTTTGTTTGGAGTAGTATGGAAGGTCAACATATTGATTATATCCTTATGTTCTCTTCGAATTATAATTTAGCACTGTTTTAGTTTCTACTGCCGTTGAAGATCACCATGTTCTGTCGTATCTGTTATTTGGTACAGTTATTTGTTTGTAATTCTATAGTCCACGAGCATTCACGAAGGATTGTACTCGAGGAAGACCTACAGCTTTTGCTCGCTGGATCAAAGTAATTTTAAACCATTAATCTGAGAAAGCGGTTGTATGTAGTTGGCAGTTTAAATATTTCTTAACGAATTCGGCGCTATGCCTGCTATCTATATTGACGTCTCTCGCTGAGGAGGCTACTTGAGATCATAGCAGGAGATTTTAGATTAATATTATAATTTTGTAGCAATTTGCCGTGTAGGGCAACATAACTTTTAGATCAGCAGAGTCTATGTTCAATTTCCTTATCTCCTATGATAAATTTGTTGTAACAGATCCATACACCTAATTATTTGAAATGTTTAGCAGTTACTAATTTCATATACCGGAATTTTATGATTGAATTCACGGTAGGTGCCATCACAACTATTATTCTAATTTCTGATCATTCTACAGTTTAGGAAATACCTTACTCCCTTTGCTATGCTTTATCTTTACAAAAGTCGATTTAAAACAAAAAATAAAGTATAAATTTCATATCTGGGATGGAGATGCTTTCCAGTCTTGACACATTTCAAAATCGTTTACGTGGTCTTTCGGGGTGGAGTGACTCATCACCCTCTTTCTTACAGACGCAAAGATGTCATTTCCATCGGAAATTTTTAGATGTCAAATGGACTTTAGCTAGACCAATTAAGACATTTAAAACTAAGCCACGCCAGTCTACTTTCGTGTAGACGAATGACCCTCATCTCCAGCGTCTTTCAAATATAAAGTGGAAGTTCTATTCACAGAATTGTTTTTTTTTCCTAAGAACTGTTAATATGTCGAACAGACTCTCTCTTTGATGTATCCCTAAGCATAATAAGTTCATGAGGTTAACTCTGCAAATCAATCTCCAATCCTCCTTGTCCTCAGATGCAAACTATTTACCTTCTACTTTTTTCATTCATCACCACTTTTACCTTGAGAAGCTCTCGAGTCTTTTATTGCATGGAAATTGCTCTAACAAAACGAGGAGAACTATTAGATGAAATGAAGATTTATAATTTTAGAAAAGGTATAAATTTCAGGGTGAAAAATTCTCAATATAATACGTTCTTTTGTAAATGAAATCTTAAGAATTTAGATTATTTAGTATATATTTCTTAATCATCTAAGTTCGATCTGTATTGAAAGATCTTGTAGCGGACCGTGGGGGTTTACGTTTTGTCAAATTAGGAACACGTGCGTTTATTCCTGCTAGAAGAAGGTCCACTACAAGAACATCGCGCTCAGAGATTGAATCCACCATAAAGAAGAGTCAAGAAAACCAACAAGACTGATATATATATATATATATATATATATATATATATATATATATAAATATCAACAAAATATATGTATTAAACAACAAAATCTACAATGGACATAGACAATAACATTTATGTTTGTGTGTGAACGTAAAGTCTTTGTATTTTGTTGAATGTTTGTACGTGCGTGCATGTGTGTATAATGTTCATGGCGTCTCCCACAAATGGGAACACGCAATTATTTGTGAGAGCTTACAATGTAGATGTCATCGCTGAAAATGCAGAAATGAAAAAGCGAACGAGGCAAGAATTCGCCCAGTATTTATAGTGTAGGGAGAGCGACCCCTAGTGAACAATTAGGAAATTAAGGAGGATTTAACTCCGGTACTCTCAATTTGCTACCTTGTACCAGTCAAGGGTAAGAAAGGTCAATACCTATCATTGGGAAAAATATGCTCAGTGAATCATATAAATACGTCGTGAAGCAGCTTCTCCTTCTCTTTCTTCTTTTCTGCTTCCTCTTCTTCTTTTTCCTTTTCCTCTTTTTCTTCTCCACTTCTTCTTTCTTTTCTTCTTTTAATTAAAAATATCCGTTTTGCTTTACGTTTTCTCTAAAACTGCGTCGTTGCTGATATCTTCTCCTTCTTCTTCTTCTCCTTCTTCTTCTTCTTTATCCCTCCAGGAAATAAACGGTCATGGATCTTCGCACTTTCTTTTACTTTGTAACTCTTAGTTATGTTTGTATTTTTGCTATCTTTCCTAATCCTTGATTTGCCAATCAATTACACAAGCTTGTTAGGTTGGTTATGTGCTAAATTACTGAGTCCCACTTGCCTTCAATATATCCTGTCAGTGTCAAATTTTCTAAGCCTTCTTTCCTCATTATTCTTAGAAATATTTCAACTGCCTCTTCCTGATTTTAATTATACATATCCTTTTTTTTTTACGTTTTCTCTAAAACAGCGTTGTTGCTGGTATGTTAAGACCAAGGTATTCTCAGCATCCTACTTTAGAAGCACATTTGTTTTGTCTTGTGTCTTCTTCATCGGTGAGCAGATTGTTCAGCATTCATTGCCATCGATCGATATTCCATAAAAGTTATATATTCTTTTCTATGTTTCTAACGAAACGGGTTGATTAAAAAATTTAGTGTGCTTCTGTGCGCACGAAGTTGAAAAACAGGAAATAGTTTGTAATGATAATGAACGGAACCAGATTAATCCGTTGTGACTAATAAAGCGTAAATCTTGAGTGAAAAAAAAAAAAAAACATCGGAATATAGAGAGGACAAATCAGAAGAAAAACTATTTAGAGAGACGATAATTAAAACGATTGTCATATAAAGAAATGTTAAAGACAATGACAATAATTCCAGTTAAAAAAAAAAGAAACCATCAAAGATACAACTTATAAATTTAAAAAAGAAAACAAAAAGCGAGACAAGAATTAAATGTAGAATAATTGTCGAATTCCAGATTTTCGCTAAAGAAACAAGCCAGGTCACGAGTGCATGAGAAGTGTGATGAACACAGCGTCTATGATTAATAATGAACAGGAGTAACTCAGTACAAATTAATGTCATTTTAATTATTCAGTTGGAAAACGTTTCGCAAACATCTTACTCTTGAGCGGTTTGAATTGTAAATCAAAACTCAGATTTGAAACATGTTTACATGCCAGTAGTTTTAAAAGTTCATATAACGGCGGCCTGAATTATTAAACATTTACCAGTGAACTTAACGCTATTTCAAAGTCAATAGCTGATATACAATTAGAATCGTACTCATATTCACACCAGCTGTCATGAACACTATATATATATATATATATATATATATATATATATATATATATATATATATATATATATATGAAGATATAAAGAGGGATGGAGAGAGGAAAGGAAGGAAATTGCGTATTCATTTACGTACATCAGAAAAACGAAACTATATACGCATCCAACACAATCTGTAAGGATGCTGAAAGGTTCTGTTAGATTTGATTAAGAGTGTCAAGTCTAAAACCTTTTAGCAATCTATCTATCTATCTATCTATCTATCTATCTATCTATCTATCTATCTATGTCAACTTCGAGTGGTGAATATCAGTTTCAGGCGTCA